AATCCTGAGGTATGGGGGGGAATCTGGCTCTCGTGGCTTCTACCAGCGTTGGCCTGGGGGAGCTGGAGGGACCCCTGCAGCCACCCTCGCCTTATAACCGAAGCTGTAGAGACAGCAATAAATATATTTGTTTTGTTTTGTTTTTTTTTTAACAAGCTGATGCGTGCTGACTCTGTGCACCCCCAAATCCCCTAGACCCACCCCCCTCCATCACCTGGGGTACCACACTTCATCATCCCTCCCTTTCCCCCCCCAACAAAAGTCCTCCTTCCAGCGCCGTAGCATCGTCCCACCATGACCCTGGAGGGAGGATGCATGTTGGGGGTACCCTAAAACCCCCCTCCATCGCTGCCTGCAGGGGAAGGCAGCTGCTTTTCGGCCAAAACCAGCCGAAAAGCAGCCTCAAGCCTCCCCACTAGTTCTCCAGCCCCAGTTTTTGGTGTCCAGCCAGCTGGCGGGGTAAGGACAGGGGCAGGAGAGGGGCTGCCACATGCCAACACCATCCTGGGTACGGCGCTGGGGTCTCCGTGGGGGTCCCGAGGCAGAGAGAAGCCAGCACCTCCTGGCACGAACTGCCTTTGATGCTAACAGGCAGGCGCATATTTTTCCCATTACAGGCAGAAAGGAGGAAAAACATCCCGGCCCCAAGGAGAGTTTTGGTTTCGTTTCATAGGATACGACTTTTTTAACTTCTATTTTATCCCAGCAGAAGTCCTTCCCTCCCTGCTTGCCCAGGAAGAGCGGGGTAGGGGGCTCGTTCTTGCAGCCTCAGCTAGGAACAGGGTTTGGACCCCGGGATAAGGATAAAAAAACATAAGATTTGGGCTCCCAGCAGCCATAAATTGTGTCTGAAAGCCTCTTTCTGCCTCGCAGAGCTGCTGCAACCCCCAGCTCTGCTGTTTTGTCACCGGGAAGGAGAGGGGGTGGGAGCCCTGAGAGCCCCCCCTGTGTCCCTTGGCAGGGGGAGATGGCCCCGCTGTTGTCCCTGTGGCTGGTGGCCCTGGTGAGCCTGGCCCGGGCGTGCCCCGAGCCCTGCGCCTGCGTGGACAAGTACGCCCACCAGTTCGCCGACTGCGCCTACAAAGATCTCCAGGTGGTGCCCACCGGGTTGCCTTCCAACGTGACCACCCTCAGCCTCTCGGCCAACAAGATCACCTCGTTGCAACGGCGTTCCTTCGTGGAGGTGACCCAGGTCACCTCCCTCTGGTTGGCGCACAACGAGATCCGCTCCATCGAACCCGGTACCTTCGCCATCCTGGTGCAGCTGAAAAACCTCGACATCAGCCACAACCAGATCGTGGACTTCCCTTGGCAGGACCTCTACAACCTCAGCGCTCTCCAGCTGCTCAAGATGAACAATAACCACATGGCTCTGGTGCCTCAGGGGGCTTTCCACACCCTGAAGGACCTCCGGTCCTTACGCATCAACAACAACAAGTTCACCAGCCTCGCCGAGGGGATCTTCGACTCGCTCAGTTCCCTCTCCCACCTGCAGATCTACAACAACCCCTTCGAGTGCTCCTGCAAGCTCCAGTGGTTGAAGAAGTGGATGGACAGCACGCTCATCTCCATCCCTGAGAAGGATTCCATCACTTGTGCCCTCCCGGAGCAGCTCCGAGGAGTGCCGGTGGGCAAGATCCCAGACGTGCAGTGCACCTCGCCCACCGTACAGCTCACCTATTACCCCAACCTGGACACCACAGAGCTCTTTGATGGCTTCACCCTGACGCTGCACTGCGCCGTGACGGGCACCCCACCACCCGAAGTGAGCTGGAAGATCCGCACCTCCAGCCAAACTCTGGAGCTCAACGGCAACCCGAAGGAGAGCGCTGGGAAGGACCTCCCCAAACAGGACCCCGAGCGCTTCTTGGTCTTCAAGAATGGCACGTTGCTGATTCCCCACCTGAGCAAGCGGGAAGAAGGCACCTACACCTGCCTGGCCACCAACGAAATGGGGAGCAACCAGACCTCGGTCAACGTGGCGGTGGCGGGCACCCAGAAATACCCACTGCAGCCCAAGAGGGACCCTCT